CTCCCAGTGGGGTCTGTGGAATGTGGAAATAGAATTGCTGCATATATTTCAGAGAATGCAACTCCATTCAGAGAATATAAAGACACGTGTACTTAGACACATCAACATGAAAATAATTCATTTTTTTATACAGTACTAAATTCGTCCCGAACACGGACACTGTTTTTGTTTTGGAATTTTTAGATATTTTGCCAAACGAAAAAATTGATAATCACCCGAGGAAAACCAGAAGTGCCATGGCAAGATCTGGTGAAAAACCTTGGTGATTATGAGTCCGGATGCCGGAATCCCCAGGGGAACCCTGTTTACCTATTAACTATATTACCTTATATATATATATATCATACCTACCAATATATACCATACCTACCCATAACCTACCAAAACCCAGAAAAGTATAATCTTGCAAAACAAAAAAATGAACTAAAAAAAACCTCACGAGATGTTCAAAAAAGCATTGTAGACCACCCGAAAATTCAGTCTACAAATAGCGCAAGACAAATATCCCTTTTTATGAACAGATTGTTCCACTAAGGAATTTATCTTAACCTTGAAACCTGAAAATATTTCTGATATATTCAGGACAAGGTGCGTGGCAAATGAATCCAACGGCTCAACATATTTTACAGTAGTTTCATTGTAAAAGGTGTTAGGACACTTGGATGCATTTTGAAGATGTGATGTGTGCATTTCTATACTTAGATTTTTATATTTTGGCGCATTTTGCTATCGCGCGCAAGAAAATTGCAACGCGCGCACTCAAATATGGCATGCACTGATTTTCATGCACTGATTTTCATGCCCTTAATTTTACTAAGCATGCAACTTCGCGCGTTGAATTTTAATAAGCATGAAACTTTGCGCATTAAACTTTGTTTCACTGAAGACTGTATAGAGCACACTTCACTATTTGCACATGGAGTACACTCACTGACTGTACTTCGCATTGCAGCAGCACGCGTGCGCCGCTTATGTTAATTAGCTGCGTTCGACCATGGTGTTTTTATTATCCACGGTTCGACCAAGCTGATGTATGGACAGTGCAAGACAACACGGAATGCAACATGGCAAACATTCTAGTTGCTATTGCGACCATATATAAACTTGATCTGCCGGCAGAGTGTTTTCACGGCTGCTATGTTTGGGAACAAGTTAAAGTGCCGAAACACAAGGAAACAAGAAAACCATTGTTTTGAAAACTTGTCCGTCAACAAAGAACACATGAAAACACCCTATTTTTCCTGGCGGTCTTTTCAACTGAAAATTTATAGTACAATTTTATAACGCGCGCGCAATGCATTTGCAACCTAAAGAAACGAGCCTATTCTCCACTTTGGAACGAGAACTACGTTTCTTATCGTTAAGCTCCTAATCCAAGATATTTTAGGCAGAAAATGGTTTCTTTTTTGTTGTTTTTTTTCTGCAACGAGTATTCTTGGACTATTGTTGCTTGTATTCAAAGTGGCTTCGCGGTTTTCTTTTTTATTTTTCTCTTTTTTCGTAATATTTCTTTTTTTCCACTTTGAATTGGTTCTATAAGTATTTTTCAGCAGAAAAACAGATTCCATTTTCCTGTTGTGTTAAATACTTTACAGAAAGTTACTGGCGCAAAAGCATGACGATAATCAATTACAGTCTTATAGTATGCATGCACGAATAAGCAAAAGCCGCCTATGTCTAGCTGCCTAACCTTCATAACTAGTGCGCACGCGCATACAACCTTTCAAAAACCTGCAAGGGAATACCCCCGAATGTGGAGTCTCAGTCATGCCCTTAGCTTAACCTAACCTAGTGTGCGTCGCACCTGGTGAGCTTCCACAAACAGGGGCAATGTTGGCATGCCTTATGTTAATTGTCTTCCACGGAGTCGTTGAACCACCATAACAGGGGGGACCTAATCTCTGGTAGCGACCTGTTTTCATATAACTCGGGACAGAAAACTAACGTTCGAAACCAGCGATAAACATGCACTACGGGCGATGAAAGCCTAGACTATTTATTATTACAATAATTGTGTCATTACAGTCCTAAACTGATCTTTGTGTCAAAAAATGGCCACGATATCCACCAATCTTCTTACGGGTACCATTTGCACCCTCTAAGCTATGGATACCATTTGTACCCAGTTTAGTTATCCTACCGAAGGAAAGCTATGCCAGCTTTTCAACAAAATTTTGGCTATACCCATATATTACGTACACAAATATACAGATTATGTAATGGATTAAGGTCAAGGTTATAGGGTTATATTTAACCCCAAACCAAAGCCTAACACATTTCATGAGATTTCTATACATTTATGAACATAACATATCGATATAAACAAAATTTTTAAGTCTGGCAAGGTTTTACTCGTCTGCCTATATTCTGGATTCTATCCGCGCGCTGCAGACACGGAGACACCTAAGCAGTACATTTACACAAAGAGAAGAACATTAGCACGAACAGACCGCAAATAGCTATAGTGGGTCTCACTACGAGTTACTAGAGTGAAAAAATAATGTCCACTGTTTTTTACTTTATGTAGTAGTCTTGTATTTGAAGCAATTGAATTGCTCCAGGAAGTGCCAACATTTCTGACGTTGACAATCGCCTGGATTGTAACACTTACTGAAACCCACCAATAACCGAACCGAGTGCATGCAACGAACCACGTGACCGAAAGCTCAAACGTCAACCTCTTAAGATTGACTTTCGATTGCAGATGATTATCGAAATTCTGATTAACTGAGGTCAAAATAGTACCTCATTTTTTATTAGCATGCAAACATCTGAATAAAAGTCAACCTGGTGTGCAAATGTACAACTAACGACAGACCGCCAGGAATTTTAAACCGGCTTAAGACTTCACCGAACACATGCAAATTAGAGTCTTGGGTAACTACTGCCTGATAGCAGGCTAACCCTTAACTACTGCCTGATAACAAGCTAACCACTGCCTGTTATCAGACTAACAATCAAATCCTCTAACCTTGAGGCAGTCATCTCGTTGCCGCGGTGCAGCTTTCGTTATCAAGGTACATCGGCAGGTTAACCGTCGATCGCGAGATACATTTTATCCACTAATGTTCACAATAATCCTGAAGTGTTCGTTGTAATCCATCAATGTTCATAGTAACCCATTAATGTTCATAAGAATCCAGTAATGTTCACATGGTATCGATCTCCAGTAATTGGTATTTATCCATTGATATCCGCTACGACTCCCACTGGACCTCCCATCGGACACCTCAAATGACGTTTTGGTCAGTTTTAAATTCTATTGGTTATTTTTTTTTAAATACAATTATATATCTGCGAGCAACACATTAACTAGTCAAAAACCATGAAATTCTTGAAAGATTAAACCTCAAAGAATGTTTATATCAAAGATATTCAAGCCAAAATCCCAAAGTCTGCATCAAAATGGTAACGGGAAAACGCTGAATAAAACCATACAGACAAAAAACCGACCACAAATCAAAGTTTGGTGGTACTTCGGCTTGATCTTTCCAGGCCTACAGGCGAGCTGTCCCAATCTCATGCCACGAACAAAAAGCACCGATGTAAGGTTGGCCAGACCTTGCACCTGTGCTAGTTGATCACGACAATCGATCAGAGCAACTCGACTGTAGGTCGGAAAAGTCCGAGCCGAAGTACCGCCAAGCCTCGACGAATGGTCGGTCACTCATCTGGCATAATTTTACCTAGCGTTTAAACCAAATACCAAAGTGATGTAAATTTTAAAATTTCATTTCAAATATCTTTCAAATAAACAAACTCCCAGTTAAAACCTTCCGAATTTCAAACATTTCGATTTCGTTAAGAGCGTTTCACAAATTCCAGGAAATGTAAAAAATTTGAATAAATTGCGAAATTAAGGAAAAAGTGCCATATTTAAATTTGTTTTTGCATTTGGGCGTCCTCAGGGTGCCCCCCCCCCCCACGCCTTTCGAACACGACCAACGAGAATCACGAGAAAAATATACCTTCTGTAACGTACAGCATCTTTCACGCCTATTTCATAGGCTGGTATAGGTAGGCAATCCGTAGTGCCAATCTTGGAAACGATGGTGATAGGGTTCCTGGATGGTACGGCGTCGTGTCGTGGTTTGACAGGTCTTGGCACCCATTCACAATTGGCTGACTGAGCGAAAGACTGTCAGACTATTACGGTATTATATGCCTTGGTTACTCTCTCGTCCAAACGTGGTACAAACGAAATGCGACGATAACAGCTGTGGGTTAGCTGACGGTCTTCATTTGGCCTTTGCCTTCCAGTCTTCTCGTTTTGTTTCGACTGCTAGCGAGCGTCTCTTCAAATCTGTGCAGAGGTCTTTCTGTACTGTTTTCCGTCAAAATGATCGAACTTGAGGCAATCTAAAAAAGTTGGATAATGCATTTTTAGTTTTAACAGTGGAGAGTTATTTTAATGTGGTTTATACAGGCTGTGGTTCATGACCAGAATGCGTGCATGTATGCATAAAATTAATATCAGAGCATGAACCACGAGGACATTTCATCTCTGAACTTCTTCAAATTAAAGATTTGGGTTAAATTCGACCTCAACAAAGTCAAAATGCTTAGCCTTCCCTCTCAGAGTACAATTTGTACATAAACGACAAGTTTGTAGAAGCTAAAATGTTTGAAATGCATGTCGAATTCAACATGCCTAAAATAAGTCGGCATTTCGTTCTGTACAGATAAAAGTTTCAACAAAATTTTAACTAAATTTGACAGAGTGTTCATAAAGCGACAAGGCTTTACTAGAAGACGTTCTAGGTGTATAAGGGAAGCTTAAAAACAAAAACAAAAAACAAGAAGGAAACGCCTTTAGTTATACTTACCAAGTACTTTGCGTTTTCGACCATGTCGGCGACTTAAATTAGTTCACTCTTTCTCTTCAAATTTTCGCCCTGAAATCGCAGATAAACTAAATATGAGTTACATATATCAAAGCTGAGGTATTTCTGAACATTACTGCTTAAAGTGAGCGAGAAACACCAAGGAAATAAAGCGACTAAGCGCCGAAACGAAGCGCTTGAATGGAATCGAATTCAATACATCAATGAATGTGTGTACACACGTGTTTCAAAAACAGCGATAACTTAAGAAGAACAACTCAGAAACGTTTAAAAAATAGCTAAATTTAATACTGACCTCTCTCTCTGCATGGCATATCGATTTTATTTCGAAAAAGGTTCATAAAAGCGAAGTTTTGTTGCAGCAACTGAGCAACTTTAATTGTGTGCTGTCTATAAAACTTGGAAGCCTCGAGCAGAAATATTCAAATCTGCCACGAATGCGTAAACCACACCTTGTTTGCTATTGTCAGATTTCTATGAGCTGTGATTGGTTTAGCTTGCAAAAGCTTTGCTATCATTGGCTACTGCTAAACGCATGCATTGGTCTGAACTCCCTTGGGGCTTGGAATGTTTTTAAAATATCAAAAGTATAGCCTTTCAAATTTAAATCAAGCATAACGCCGAGCATAACGCCGTATTCTATTGAATTTATCTGACAAGCTATAATGGGCTTCGAAAAAGTTAGACAAGTTAGCGAGCCGTGAAACAAAAGACTTTCTACTTATGGGACATGTACGAACTGTCGAACAACTCAATGAATACCCTGTACAGTACAAGCAGCATTAAAATGAAGTTATAATTGATCTCTTTTGTAAATAAAACATGTTTTCGTCACGTATCATTAACTCAAAGCAGTTGCGAACAATCAAATCACTTATAATTATCGTTAATTTGAATTTGAAAGGCTATACTTTTTTTATACATACTGTACAGTGTCCCCAAAAAAGTGCCCTCTATAGAAATTTTTCTATTGTTATAAGGGTACTTTTTGGGGGATACACTGTACAGGGTAATCGGGGAACGGAATGGGGAACGCGAAAACTTGGTAACTTTAAAACCCGGAATGGAAAAAGCAGGGTCATCATCTAACTATACTATCCAGGTTGATGGTTGGTTGATTATAACAATGAAAGACAATAAAACTATAGAAATCGTCGAAAGAACAAGTCATGAACAATGATCATTTTTGTTTCTGAAAGGCAATCGCAAAACATCATTTTTAATAGGTAGAGGTCTTTACCCAAAAAGCCAGAATCGTTAAAATCCGAAAGGAAAAAAGCCAGAATATTTAAAATCAGGAATGGAAAAGACCGGAATCTTTAAAATCCGGAACGAAAAAAAAACGTGTTTTCAAGATGGCAGTGATATACTGAAGAATGAATATACGGTTGGAGAGGTCGTCCATGCGATTAATTTCTTTGACTTTAGAAAGAGTAATGAATAATTTACAATATTGGCAAGATTTATTCACCATTTAATTTTCTATATTTTACAATTTCATTCTAATTTTATCTATCAGAATATTATTTTCAATATGACAAATTTCAACACTTGATACATTTATATACATTTACACTTTGGTGACATAAATATAATCAATAGTACTAGTCACCAGCAAGCTGCAGTCGTGCAGATTGAGAGGGATAAACAACTTGAAAAATACTAGTTTTCTTCAACGTTTCGAGTGAGGGACCTCCGTAGGGATAAAAAAGTGGGGGAAAGGTGGAAGGAAAATTGGTAATTTTTAAGCTGAAAATATTGGGGGAAATAAGGAGGGGGGAAATGGGAATTTTTTGTGGAAAAAAGGGGGGATCAGGAAAATGGGAAACATTGTAGTGGAAAAAAGTGCATGGGCAGAATGGCAAATGTTTAGTGGAAAAACAATGGGGGATGGGCAAAAAAAGGAGGGGGGCGGGGGGGGGGCTCATCATAAGGAAAAAGTTAGTCCTGAGACAGAAGCACAAATTTGCATTTATTTATACATATAGCTGGATGTCATTTAATTTTCTGATTCCTAAAAAATTCTTTTGTCTCGTTACAGGTAATGTTCACACACATAGGACATCGCAATGGTAACTGAGTAGAACAAACAGCTTTCGATTCCAAATGCGACTTGACAATGTCGGCCATGGCCTAAATTTTGAAATAACATATTAGTTAATTAACAACTTAAATTTAAGTACAAATCTCAAAGCTTCAAGCCTCATTCTGACACAAATAACGACTACATAGAAATATATTGGTAAATACAAACCTTAATAAATATGGGATTATCGTTTAAACTAGCAGCACGTCTGATCATTTCCACTCCAGCCTGACAACAAAAATATTGTACTTTAATCAAATTAATCCATAAACTGTCTGGTATAGCTCTCTCTCTCTAATTACACCCGTTGTTGGAGGAAAAAATCATTACATCCTCTCCCTATTGAGGCTGTCTCTATTAATTAGCCTCCCTCTCTATTAATTAGCCTCCCTCTCTATTAATTAGCCTCCCTCTCTATTAATTAGCCTCCCTCTCTATTAATTAGCCTCCCTCTCTATTAATTAGCCTCCCTCTCTATTAATTAGCCCCCTCTCTATTAATTAGCCCCCTCTCTATTAATTACTATTAATTAGCCCCTCTATATTAATTTATTAATTAGTCTCCCTCTCTATTAATTATATTAATTAGCACTACCTCTCTATTAATTATCTATTAATTAGACTACCTCTCTATTAATTAGACTCTGTCTCTACTAATTATCTATTAATTAGCCTCCCTCTCTATTATCTATTAATTAGTCTCCCTCTCTATTAATTAGCCTCCTTCTCTATTAGTTAGCCTCCCTCTTTATTAATTAGCCCCTCTCTCTATTAATTAGCCCCTCTCTCTATTAATTAGTCTCCCTCTCTATTAATTAGCCTCCCTCTCTATTAATTACCCCAAACCAAACTTTAATCCCACTCCTCATTAAGACCCCTTCTCTAGTAAGCCTCCCTCCCTATTATTAATGAACTACATACTTTTTGTGCAGTTTCTTCCATATATTCAATATCCAATTCATAAAGTGTTTCAATGTGATCCGAGGTAAATGCAATTGGAACAAGCAACATATATTTCTGGCCATTCTTACACAGACCCTTGATCGCTTCTTCTGTTGATGGGCCTAGCCAGGGAAGAGGACCAACCTAAACAAGATAAAGAGGTATACTACCAACATGTGAGTTGTACGTACGTGCCACAATGTGTCTTGGTAATCATACTGTATGTACAATGCTAATTATTTGACCGACAGTTGTTTCACGAGTTGGGTAATCAACTAATGTATACTCTTGTACAGTAGTAACATTTGACAAGTATCATCCTTACTTGCAGGTGAGAACTATAAGCTGAATTGCAAACGAAGCAGCTCAACTAACTGAGTTGAATGGTTTCTAAGGGCACCTCTGGCAGAACAGTCAGTGAAGGTCTAATCCTAACCCACCCTGAGAACCTTCCCTAGAGGAAAGAAGAGTACACACAGAGAGAACCCACTTAACTTTTGGTAGAGCATAACTGACAGAATCTTTTCACATGACATGTCACATTGTCCACATCATCAAGAATTGGACCCACGCAAACTCTGTGTAAAGGCGCAATCTCTGATGATCGTGTCACAGAAGCCTATTGTATCAGACAACTTTCACTGGATCACACAATAAATACTAGCATAGCCATCTACTAGTATATTGCAGAAAGCACACACCTTTGACTGCCACACAACTCTGTACGGGTTACTCCACTCCAGTTTTTCCATAACTCCATGTACACTTGCAGCGACCTCCGCAGGGTAAGAATCTCCTCTGTTTACAACCTGTACAGCATGTATAAAAAAAAGGTAATCGACTTAAATTTTTTAAAAAAATTAAAAATGCCCCAATCTACTCCAAACGTTCAGAAAATTGTCGAAAACAATTTCTTTCATCAAAACAACTAGTTTTGAGGGGGGACCACAAGGCAACCATATGGTCAGCAAAGGGGGGAATTACTGTACATACCGACATTGGCAAAGAATGGGCTGAGAAAAGGATCACAACTTCATTTTGTGCAGTTTCTGGAAACTTTTCCAACTCGTTTTTTATGCTTCCTGCAAACGCCTGTAAAAACAAATAGACAAACAATTAAATTACTGACAATAAATTTTATTATCATTTCCTTATTCATTTTCTCAATCCACGTTGATTGGCTAATTTTCCTAGAAATAACTGGTGAGAATTATACGTCAGCTGCAAATAACTGCAGGTGCAAATAATGGTCTGAGCATGCACACTTTTGAAATCAATTCTCAATTGCAAAATATTGATTTATGCAATGCCATGCACATTTAAGATTTTTGAAAAGCAATTCAAGTAAACACAAAAGTATAAACATGGCTTGTTAAATTTTCAGACAGTGGCTCATGATATTTTGCTCAACCTCGTCCAATAATTGTGTATTGTCCGAATATCTATGGCTTGCCTTAAACTATAGCCTATGACCTCTCAATTAACCTGCAGGCCTGACTGAATTACTGGCTCACTCACAACAAATTGATTTCAGAGTTCCACTTTACCTCAATAAGACCTGGGTGGGTGGGCCATCTATCAATAACACTCCACTTCACATTAGACTCCATGTTTCTGTTCTTGTAAAAACGATATATTGCATTCAAACTGCTCCCAGTAGTCGAGCAAGAATATTGAGGGTACTGGGTGAAAGCGACAACTCTATCCAAACCATCCCTAAAGATTATTTGATACAGGCCTTAATGTAAAGTATGTACGGTATATGAAAAGAAAATATATAAAATCAGATTTGAATAGACACTTTCCAAATTTCGTTTGAATGCATACAGGAGTCAAGGCATAGATACTGTACTGGTATGTATAACTTAATCAAAACAGCTAGCAGACAATTTTACTGGGTTGACCCATAATAAGCTGCAGAGCTGCCTCATTGACGAGTAAAATCATCTGGCGTCAGACAAGTTGGGGGGGGCACATTGCGACTCATTGGGTTAAACTTTGTCTGCTTCGAGTTAAAGCAAATGTTTCAGACACATTCCAGCAAAAACAGGAACTGCCTCCAGTTGATCATGCACCCTGTAAATTAATTAAGAACATAAAATTTACCTATGCTTACTTTTCAATCTCTTCCAAAGTATCTTCTGTGAGTGGGTCAGCATAACGAAATCCAATGTAACACTTATGTGGAGCTGCAACATACAGAAACTATTATTGATATCTGCATGCGCACCAAATGATCAAGAAAGAACAAACTTACCAGTTTCAGGGCTTATTTCATCAAGCAGTTTGATCATTTCATGCCCTTGTTTTTCTGTCCATTTTCTGATGGGCGATCCTCCGCCAATCTTACTGTATTGTTCTTTTATTGTTGGTGTTCTTCTTTTTGCAATCCATGGAGCTAACCGACTTCAAGGATAAAAATGTCAGTGGTAAAATTATGCTCGTATTTGTCCGTAACATATTTTATTTGTTTTATTGTCGACTTGTGTGTTTATTTGAGCCAGTTGGTTGTTCAACCAGTCATATCATGAAGTCAATGGATGAAGTCAGTCAGGTCAGTGGGCCAGTTGGCAGTCAATGGGTTGGTCTGTCAGTTGGTCAGTCGGTTAATGGATCACTATGTCAGTTGGTCAGTCAGTCAATGGGTTGGTCCATCTATTGGTTGGTTGGTCAATGGGTTGGTCCATCTATTGGTTGGTCGGTCAATGGGTTGGTCCGTCTATTGGTCGGTCGGTCAATGGGTTGATCTGTCTATTGGTCGGTCGGTCAATGGGTTGATCTGTTATTGGTTGGTTGGTCAATTGGTTGATCTGTCTATTGTTTGGTTGGTCAATGAGTTGATCTGTCTATTGGTTTATTTATTTATTTATTTAGCTTTGCGAACTAGGGCAGGGTCACCACAACAGCATATGCCAATTACTGTGGGCCCTTTTTTTTACCTAACCCACCCTGTCAACTTTCCCTGTGGGAGGAAACCGGAGTACCCGGGGAAAACCCGCGGCTTTCGGCAGAGCGTTGACTTTTACTCTTTTCACATGGGGACTGGGTTCGGGTCGCACTGAGAAGGTACTTAGTGAGACTCGGACCTGCAGCCTCAGAGGTGAAAGGCAAGTGTGCTAACCACTTGGCCACCGAAGCCCCTATGTGGTTGGTTGGTCAAATTGGGTTGATCTGTCTATTGGTTGGTTGGTCAATGGGTTGGTCTGTCTATTGGTTGGTTGGTCAATGGGTTGGTCTGTCTATTGGTTGGTTGGTCAATGGGTTGATCTGTCTATTGGTTGGTTGGTCAATGGGTAATCAGGTCTGTCTATTGGTCAGTTGGTAAATGGGTTGGTCCGTCGGTTGGTTGCATGATCAGTGGATAAGTAAGTTAGTCAGTTTGTTAGTTGGTCGGTCAGTCTGTCAATCAGCCAGTCATAATCAATCTTTCCTTACCTCTGAGCAGGGAGTGGAATAAGGTCTTTATCAGAGAACAAACGAAACAGAAAATCATGAACTTCATCCAACGTACTTGGTCCACCCATATTGACCAACATTATTCCAGTCTTTGCTTTTTTGGAACTTCTACAAAGCAGAGAAATGAGTACCATTTGTATCATAAGACTCATATGATTCAACATGTTCATATTTATAGTCAATATAAGCAATGTGTTATGTCCTCAGTCCTGTGATGCCAGAATCTTGTATCTCCCACACATGATTTCTTCAAGCAGGCTTTGGCGCTTTGCTTACTTTGCCCCCATAGCCCATACAATTTAAAAACTGGCCAGACCAATTTTCATTTTGGCACTGCCGGCAGACTAATTTTCAAAAAAATATGAAAACATGATGAAAAATCTTGGCACAGCTCAGCTCATGCAAAAAATTAACATAAACTGCACCTAAATTTTCCACTTTAATAATCTAGCCCATCGATAAATTATTAACATATTATGTAAAGAGTTACTTATATAACTTTATTAATATTAAATGTATTTATCACTTATGTACATATCAATCTAAATTTCAATACTTTACCTCTCATTTTCGCTTTCTTTGTCAGTATCTAAAGCACAAGAGGTATTAAGATATCTAATCTTTCCAAAAGTACTGCGCTGTGCGGCCAGATACTTCACGTGGGCATGATTTTGAGCAGAACACTTCCAACTTTTGTGCAGCAAAGACGAAGCAGCTTTTTTCAGCCCTAAATAACGACATAAGTATGTAAATAATCACACAATAGCCAAATATACATTTTACTTTAGGATTAAAATTACTTACTAGTAGGAAAAAATCTCGGTAACATGTTTAATTAAACGTCGAAATTTGTAGTCAAAACAAAAATTCCAAAACAATTTTACTCCAAACCGGAAAAGGAATGATTCTCAATGACATCTTATTTCCGGTATGCTCATGGTTATCCACTGATCTCTAAACGTCACCCGGACTACTGTAATATTTCAATATGGGCAAAATGGCACGTTTTTAATTAAGCCATTTACATCTGATCTTTCAGCTGTGGAAAGATACATCTTTCAGCTTTGTGAGCGGATACATCGCAAAATGTAATTGATATGTAATATTCAAGCCAATAAAATAATTTGTTAATCAATGAAAATGCACATATATTTACAAGAAAATTCAATTTAATTAACCAAAACTGTACCTTAATAATTTCGGATTTAATTAAATAAAAATATTTCGTTAAATTTGGAAAGAATGATCGAAGATAAAATGGAAAAGTCTAATCGAACAAAAGGCCAATTTCGAGTTCAAACGGCAAATGCCAGGGGAAGAGAAAAAATACGCCACAAGGTAATAAATGGGAAATCAACTCATTCTTTCGAGATTAAGAAGAAGATGAAGCGAAGAAGTTGAGCAAAAATCCTGACAACAAAATTCGACTGTCGTTTGGCGTTCCCACAAACGTGAAGCTTAAACTTCCTATTACTGATTACGTACAAGCTACTGGTTCAACCCACCGTGGGCAGTTAGTGATTTTTCAAATGTTGATGCACCGCAAGTGAAGTCAATCAAGAACTATTAATGAGTTAGGCAGTGTTGACAAGCGAAATCAAATTATCTAAGAGGCATCGACCCAAAGCTCAAAAGCCAAAATTAACCACTTAGAAGATAACATATAGTGCGTCACTTCATGCGCGCATAATACGCTGCTTCGTGAGACGACGCAATATATTCAAACACTGAATTTGACTTCAAACGACACACCAAAGACTTGGTTACCTTCGTATTTTACAATTTTGTCCAACAGTGCTTCACAGCTGGTAGGGGGATGCGAGGAATGTTACTGGCCACAGACTCATATAGTGTTGTGTTTCATCGCTGTATGCCCGAAGCTGCTTTGGAGTAAACAAGAATAGACCATTTAAAAAGATACCACGAAGTTTAGTGTGATTTCAAAATAGACTTCGGAAAGAGCAAAAGGTTTGAAGTGAGTATTGATGTCCATTTCATAATTTATTGTACAGTACGAAGAACTGAGGACTGAATTTTATAATTATAGGAAATTTGCTTCAGCTGTTTTTTGTCACGCGCGATTCAGTTTGGTCTGCACTCTGCAACCACATGCAGTAGTTTTGACTAGACCAGCATAAATAATGTGGGAAAATATTGAAAAACGCAAATGCTGGGATAGTAGTATCATCTAATGGACTTGATGTATTCGATGCGCAAATTTATGCACGCTAGTACCTTATTCTATATCTGAATGTCATCTTATGATTGAAATATAAATACATTCTGAATAGCGAAGCACAATTGCCTGGCAACAAAACCCACCAATTCGCGTCATCATAAAAGAGGTCCTTCAATATACTGCGCACTCAGAAAGGTCGAGTGCGGTTAAGAGGAGATGAACATATATATACAGGAGATAGTGTCAAGATTATTGCTAATCCTTTATGTTCAAGTACTGTTCTACGAAAAAACAGCCGGGATGGGTTAATTAAGAAGATCTTAATACCTTTACCACGGCACGTCCCAGCCTTCTATAATCCAACCAGGGAAATCTTCAAATATACAACATTTCGATTCTAATAACTTGTCGTCTTGTATATGGCTGGGAAAAGGTTGAGGAGCTATAAGTTATACAGTCTAACGCTTAACTTTTTTCTTAATCTATTTGATAAGATATGGGTCTTCTTATACTTATCTTATTGTGCGTAGGAAACGATTTAGTTCAAACCCATTACACTTTAAACATTTCAACACAATCTTGACCGCCATTACATTTTTAATGAAGAATTGGCTCAAACAAAAATTTTAAAAAGCAATTCGCCCCAACCCCAAAAATAAACTTCTAATTCCTTGCTAATATTCTCTATAGCACATCCAACTGAGAATGGAATTTGAAAAATTTCATAATGCAAAATAATTATCAACTTGTCTTCCACTTACGTTTCCGTATCGATCAAGTGTATGAACGATGTTCACTTTAATTATTATTTTACTTTCACATGTCCAACACTTGAAGCCATTTCTCTTGTTCATGGAAAAACTCTCGGACAGTTTACAAGTAAAACAGTAAAAAATCTCATCAAAAATACAGAAAATACTTCAACACTAATAAAAATTGTTTGACCCTTCGACTAGTTGCCATTTGGAATAAATTTTCTTCCGAGCTAAAAATTCTCCTATTTGATACGAAAATCAATTATCATCTTCCATTAGCCGCGTGTTGAGCCTAGCCGCCAGATAAAAAATTCATTTCGGGTCTAATTGTGGTTGCGCGTTGGCAGATCCGTGCTTAATTTATTATTACTCGCGTAAATAACCCAAAAGTGGCTGGAAATTTAAGACGAGTTGTTTAAAATTTGGTTAAAGTGGTAAATTTGATTAAGGCCGAGATTAGGAACTATATTTCTGTATGTGAAGATAAGGTAAATGCTTTGAAAGTATTTTAATATAATATAAATCGTAGCTGATCACGAAGACAGCTGCAGGGTATGATTGGCTCTTGCAACCTACCATTTTCTTGTACCGACAGGACGATGTTTTTATCCTATTAACATAGACAACTTAATTAAAAAAGCAACAAGTGGGACTATGATGGGGTCACCATCCCTCAATCTGCTAAACATTGCGTACAATTTGCACTGTTTTTCACCGAGTTTCCTGGAGGCCAAGACTACAGCATATGAAAATCGCAATCTTAATACAAAATTATGATTTATGGGTTATGCAAAAAAAAACTGTCAAGAACATTCAATTTAGATCCTAACGATTTCCATAATATCAAATTACATTTTTGTTTTTATCAGTCGATGCTTGTTTAATTCAGTTCATACTCCAAAGGTCAGTTGCTATATTTATATACTTAGCTGTGAATACGCGCATTTTGCGCTACGGACGTTTAATTTAATTTATTTTCTTGTAATGCAATGTAAAACGGACACGGCTGTCTGTCATTTATTTTTTTGTAATGCAATGTAAAACGGACACGGCTGTCTGTCACCGGAGAGGCGAGTATGGAAAATGACAGAGAAAAAAAGTCATTAAATTGAGTTGTTTTGATAACCTAAACGCTCATGTATTGAGTAAATGAAATGAATGGATGGTATCTCTAGTACTTATCGATGAAATACGCCCAGAAAATAAGCTTGGCGCGCCTAGAGCTATTATTTTGGGACGTCAAAAGAATGAAGAAATCTGGAGAGTCGAAATATTACAGCGCATGGCAAGCTTTCAGAGAAGAGTTGTACTGGAGTAAAGTAAAAAACAAATTCCGAAAAGACAAGACATTTTGAGAATACAAAATATATGAGGAAACAAGACGCAAGTTGAAACTGTAAATTTTCGACTTTATATCAAAGTCATCTTCAGAAGTCATCTTTCAAAGTCGTCTTCATTCTGTCTGAAGATGACTTTGAAATAAAGTCGAAAATTTACAGTAATTAATTAATTTACCTTTTTAAATTGTCGGCTGGTCATGGTTTTTGTACTAGAGTTGTATGGCCGATATACACAACAAGTTGTTTCGTGTAAGATACTGTATTTGACATAATGTTAATAGGTTCTAGGTCAGTAAGGAATATAGTAGAACTAGTTCTAGTACAAAGTCAAATACATATTTACTAACACAACCAAAATAACTAGAACGAGCGAATTGATAAGCTGATTACCTTTGTCCTCCATGTTGCTAGAATTAATCGACCAAGTATCTCTTCATAGGATCGATCTCTGCTTTAGTTGTACGTGTAGCTGTGGATGCTCACACATGCTTCTGTAATGGAAGGACAAAAACAACTTCTTTCAGAAGGTAAAATAATATTCGACTGGGTTCCCCGGTGTTCCCAGCTCCTGGGGAAATTACATTACATACGCAATTACCAAAAGCACTTATGCTATCCATTTAGAAGTGCCTAAAAATTCCGAGTGTGCTGGTATAGAAGCGCCAGAGTTGATTCAACAAGACATCACAGCGGATGAAGAAGATACTACACAAGATAATCTCAAACTGAGCGACGTACAGGTTGTTTCAAATAATGAAGTCAGTTCCACCGAGCGCAAGGAATGTGAAGAAACACAAGATCGTGAAATTGAAGTTAGAGTTGAACTTCGAGAAAACAAGAGAGAGGGGGAAACATCACCTAACGATGGTATTAATCATGACTTGTGTTTAATTCCCAGCTCAAATTCTGTGACGAGGCAGACTCTTCTCGCTATCTTTTATTCCTAGTTCCTGTACTAGTTTAACTATCCACAATGTAAATTTAACCCCCAAAACAACCCCACAAGAGTCGTTGATCGCCAAGAACGACCCTTTTGGGATCGCTTTGACCCTTTCGAATTTACAGTGTAGGGATACTAGTTCACGATAGGTTAACCGATAGTTGCTAAAAGCTGGTACAGATCACTTATACCATTTTCTCATTCCGAATTCCGATTACTGCTACACAATAACGCTTGGTAAACCCTAGCTATAAACCGCCAAGTTCTGATTTTTAGTGTTTTACTGCATTTTATTACCTTTCAAGGTGAGAACAAAACGACGGAGAATAATGACAAAGATGCTGTTGGGAATGGTGGGAATGATACAAATGTTCAAACTAGTTCAGAAATGAACTCAAATGAAAAAGACGATTCAGAAAAGACACAGAATACGACAGAAGAAATAGCAAATGACAAAGAAGAGGAAAACATTGATACCAAAACAGAGGAAACAGCAAACAATGGGAATCATTGTGCTGAAGTTGTTGCAGATGATGGAAATAATAACGTAGAGAATACTGAGAGTGGTACTAAAACTAAAGACAGTGTAAGAAGGACTCGGTTTAGTTCAGAAATCACTATTCAGCCCAAAGCATATTTTCAAGCTGGGGCTGAGACTGTCGTCATGATGGTATGTATGATAGCTTCGGTTTATATTGTAATATGGCCACATTTATTTTGAGGACTCCAAGGAGCAGACAGGCTCATGTTGTCCACAGCATCCCTCAGAAACAGGAGTGTTGAGGACACACGTTAATTAAACTAAGTGCATCTACCTGAGAAACTGCACTTCGTTCTTGTATTATACAGAAGAAACAAGGTTGTTGTCCAACAATTTTGCTTCCCGTCCAAGTGTCTGTGGCGGTGACAGTATGGACCTTAAGCATGTACGACGGCAACGCAACGACGACAACCAAAACAAACTTCTTCAAATAAATTATTGCGAAGAAGAGTTGTTGTGTTACTTGTGTATTATCCACTGCATGTATATATGAATTGAGTTCAGATTAAAACAAAGGCTTTATGGTTAAAAACGGTTCTGCTGAGGAAATTTGTAGTTTCACTTGTCGCGTCTTGACATGTTTGCGTTGTACACGAGACGTGAAAATCTCTGGTTTTCCGTTGTAAAAGCCCTAACACAACGTCTCTAACTCCCGTGGGGCTTTTAATTATTCATTTCTTTTGTACGAGATCAGGAATATCATTGTGTGAATAGCCGTCGTCGTCGCGTTGCCGTCCTGTTTGCTTAAGGTCGCTAATGTTTCCTGGTTTGCCCATGTTCTGCTAGGGAACAATGTTTCTATATTTTCCAGGGCTTAACGATCCATTTATTTCCATCTAGCCACCAGGATCGTCAGCTGATGACGTATTCAAAAACGACTCGAGATCGACCTCTACGGCAAGTTCAGCACACGCTGTTGGTAATGCTCATCCTTCAGACTCTGTCCTTCCTCGGACATTTTTGCCTCTCACTTTGTTCACGTGTTTATTTTGTCCTATGATTGGATTATTCGCGGTCTACAAATCTTACTCGGTGAGTGTACATAGGTTTGATGGATATGCCAGTCAGTGCAGAGTCTGGGAATTCTGTTGATGGTATTAATGGTGATGATGATGGTGGTAGTGACGATGGTGGTCATCTTGAATATGGTGGTAAGGGTGATGAAGATGAATGATGGTGGTGATGATGGTGGTAGTGATGATGGTGAAGAGGATTATGGTGGTGATATATTTATGATGGTGGACCGTACAGTGATCATATTTATGATGGTGGACCGTTGATGATGATGATGATGAATGATGGTGGTGATGAATGATAGTGGTGATGATGGAGATGATAGTGGTGGTTATAATTAATTTAAGAAGGTGTTAGTGTTAAAGTATGTTCTGACATTTCTGTGTTAATTTCTAGGTGAAACAGTTTATCAAGAAAGGTGACATAAGAAAGGCGAACCAGGCATCTCAACACGCAAGACAACTTGGTGTACTTACTTTATGTATTGGATTCTTCTTTGTTCTTGCGATTGTCGTTATAGCTGTGCTGGTCAGTACTCTTACATAGCCAGAGAAGATCATCATGAATATCTGTAAAGAAATTGTTTAACATCAATTACATCATCATTGTACACGCCTAAATTATGAAAGGCGTAATTCATGTCTGTCGTGGTTTGTGTCTGAACGACCTGGAAAACACAAAAACTGTTCTACGTCTCAAGGGTTTTCATGCGCGATAACCTACATTGGATTCTCAGATAGTACCGTTCATATATATATAATATATGTACCCCATGACAATGACGTTTCATGTTGTAAATAACAAGCTAATATATAACTGGCTAATCGTTTGCGTAAATACTACTCAAGTATGACGAAACTGGGTGGAATTACTAAATATATGTTTAATAATGATTCTATATAGTCTTTACCAAATCTGGAGTGACGATCCCCAAATACATGACGTCATAAACATTACTCGAAATGACGTCACTATAACTTTGGGACAACCTAAATCCAACATTACGCAACCAAAGTTTTATCACAAGTAATTTCAGCAGTCATTTTGCACAAATAATAATCTAAATGTCACGAAATGTCACAACTACATGATTGATGTATAATCCCACTTTTATTAAAACCTTAAACCTCTAGCGTGTTTGATTAACTATTGTTATCTGTTTCCTAATATTTACAAAATGCTATTCTTGTGACCTTCAGACTACGCTATGTCTGATCTGCATCAGTGTGCTTATGCAAAGATGCCCCATGCAGATGAAAAAGTATCATATATCAACTTCTTGTATTTCGCAACAGCGTGTTAAGTATACGAAATTCCGTTTATCTATTAGTATTACCATTCGCCTGTGTACAGCCGTAAATTCTCAGCATTCAAAAACAATTGGTTCCGCGTATAACCGCGTCTACTAGCCTACCTTTTTATTTCACCAAAATAAGGAGGTACTTTTATAACCCGGCATTCAGACATGTCTGAACAAGCTATACCGCCAAGAAGGTCAGTACTAAAACACCGTAATATAATGCAAGATATCTTCGCTTCGTCCACGGGATGGCTAGTTCTTGGCGTAATCTTAGGCTTGGCGCTTATAAAACCTACGGTAGCCTTATCCTTGAGTCCTTCTGGAGTTAATGTATGCAGTAGGGAAGAAAGGTGAGTGAATT